AAAAAAGTTGAAATAAAATGTTGAGAATAAACTATAAAAAATAAATAAATAAAAAAGACGGATTAAAACCCTAGCCAATCGCATCATATGAAGTCATCATATGAAATTAACATGACATGAGTGTGTTTATTCTCAGCAGTTTATTTTGACATTTTTCTTGAAATTTAACAAGTTTTTTCTCAAAACACGACTTTATTCTCGAAATTTAATGAGTTTATTCTCAACATTTTATTTAGACTTTTTTCCTTGAAATTTAACAAGTTTTTCTCGAAACACAACGACTTTTTTATCGTAATTTAATGAGTTTATTCTCAACATTTTATTTCGACTTTTTTCTAGAAATTTAACGAGTTTTATCTCGAAACACAACGACTTTATTCTCGAAATTTAATGAGTTTATTCTCAACATTTTATTTTGACATTTTTCTCGAAATTTAACGAGTTTAATCTCGCATTACAATGACTTTAATCGATGACTTTCGAGATGGTCTTATTTTTTTTATTATTGTTTGGCCCTAATCCTCTTCCGTAATTTTGCATTTCTCCAATTTTTAAAAATTTAAAATTATTGGAATTATTATTTTATTTTATTTCTGTACAATTTATTACAAAATATGTTATAATATAATAAATATAATATAATATAACAATTTAAGTAAAAAGTTTATTCGAAAAATGTATTTGTTTAAAGACCAAGAAATAGTGCAGAATATGTCCATATATCATGTTTCATTTTAAATTTCTCAGAATTCTAAAACCTTTAAGTTTCCCAGATTCCCAATTTGGATTCATACTTTATTATTAATGAAATACATTCCTGATTTGGTTGTAAAATGAAAATGAACAAAAAAAATTAAATAGAAACTTCTAAACTTACCAGAAGCTTTAAGTTGATGCAGAATTATCTTCCACGTCTGAGAGCTTCCTTTTTTTTCTTCTTTGGCTTTTTTTTTTTTTTGTGGTGGTCTCCAGTCCTTGATCGTTTTAGATCACTGACATCTGCAAATGACGTTTAAGAGGGGATTATAGCATGGCGGGAAGAGTTAGGGAAAGAGAGACAGAGAAA